ATGAATGCATTGAATTTGGGCTGGAAATTGAATTTGAGCTGAAAACTCAATGTTCCTCAGAAAACCCGGTAGTAGACTAACATGCTTGTTTTAGGTGCTGATAAAGCGGAAATGAGGTAATTTTTGAATAAAGGTACGCCACGACTGGTTTTCATCGCAAACATCAGCAGGTTTCTATATATATAGTATACGACGGTCATGCATGTGTAGAATTTTAATCTTACCGTCAAGCTTTCCATTAGCGATGAGATTCGTCGCCACTAACTTGATGGTGCTCTGAGAAGCACCTGATGATCGTATAGCAGCCACTAAACATGCCCTACAAAGAAAGTAAAATAGTCACTAGATTTTTAAGATCACTTTTGTTCCGGGGAATTTGAACACACCGAGTTACGGATTTTTAAAAATTGTACTTGTTGATGTTATTAGAGAGGTTCAGATTTGATGTTATTTAAAAATTGTAAATGTTATTAGAGAGGTTCAGATATTAACCAATCCGATGCATTTAATCTACACGATTAGCCAATCAAATTCGTACAAGCCTTTGAGAGAGTTCAGCTCACGCACCTCAATGAATCCGTGTAGTAGTTGCTATTATTCGCCTCAGTCTCCAAGAACAATTGAACGGCACGGTCAGACTAAATCATGAATGAAACAATTACGTAAAGTAATAGACCTCATGCATAATGACATCACAAGGCTTGATGCCCGTGAGGAATGCTGGTCTTAGTAGTCATCGCCCGGGAAAATTTCGGTAGTGGCCATTTTGAATTGTTTAAATTTCCCGGGCGATGACTCTTAAGACCAGCATTCCTCGCGGGCATCAAGCCTTGTGACGTCATTATGCATACGGTCTATTAATTAATTATATTGGATAGCGCTATCAGCACTGGACTGCTCTTATTTCTCCCTACAGCTTTTCCCTTAATTATTGGTACAGTATTACTAAAGTCCAGTACAGACGAGCAAGTTTTTCCTGACAAGTTTATTTTGAGTGTATATCCACACCGGGCAGGCTTGAAAAATATGCCTGGCCACGGTGGGAATCGAACCTACGACCTTTGGAATACTAGCCCAATGCTCTGCCAACTGAGCTACGCGTCAATCATATATATATATATATATATATATATATATATATATATATATATATATATATATATATATATATATATATATATATATATATATATATATACTGTTTAATAAACGAGCAGGAGTGTTTTATTAGGTTTAAAGACACGAGCGCGCAACGCGAGTGGCTTTAGACCTAATAAAAGACGACCTGCAAGTTTATTAAACGGCTTCAAACACGACTACAAATTCAATAGAAATTTGTATACGAAATTGAATGCCTGCATTGCAATAAAGTTTATATTGGTGAAACTGGTGGGACAATTGGCACGCGCATTAAAGAACATTTGACCATGAATAAGCAAACCATGTACAAACATATTGAATCCCACAGGAGTAACGAAGATGACATGCCAATTATAACTTGGAGAATCCTACATTCCAACATAAACAATGATGATGAGCGTAAGTGCATTGAGGCGTTTGAAATTAAGAAAAGAGCGGGGAACGTAATAAACGGATGCATTGGTAGAACAATTGACATTTAAAATATATATTCTGCATGATACGCTTGAATAACAACATTTTAAATTTTCGCTCGTTATTGTCCACATTCCACCCTTTTTATTTAAATTTAGTCTAGCTTTGTAGTATATATTCAACGGACGTGATCTAGTTATAACATTCCCCTGAAGAAGCCTTAACCGGCGAAACGTTGGGACAAAATTTTTAAATTTTTTATTGCCTGTAGAAGTCTTTTTTAATTTTTTAAATAAAAAAATTATATTCATATATATATATATATATATATATATATATATATATATATTACGCATATGCCGTATACTAGCATCACCTACTATTTAATATACAACTGCTCCTGGTATAAAAAACATTTGCTCTACAAAAACCCTTCAACTACAATTATATACTTTCTTCTATTCTTGTCATCGTTTTTATGCAAATATCTTCTCTTGTGAGAATCCTAAATAACATCTCATCAAATCTAATGAGATGATACTTAGGATTTTCGTAACGTTCAGAATAACAACTGCAGAATAACAACTGCAAAGGAAGAAAACCAGCAATTTTTCATTGAGTTATCCTGAAGGCATGCGAACGAGGCGAAATTATAGTCGAAAAATTGTACAACACAGATATCGGAAAAAATATTACCCCCAAAAATATTACCCCAAAAGGGTAATTGACTTTAATTTTCTTTTTTACTGAAACATCATAAATGAACATTGTATTCATGAGCTCATTACGTTCCATAAAGTACTAGAGATACATTTACATGCTGATTAAAAGAGCCGCCTTGCCAGAACATCTGGTTTTCGGAAAAACATATTCAAATAATAATTCATTCTAATTGAACTTAATTAATTCAAAACCTGGCTTAAAATCTAAACTGTGGCAAGACTCCGTGCAAAGCATGCTGAATGCAAGCCAAGGGACTTGTCGAAATTTTCCGTATCTTTTCAAAGGTGATCTATTGGACTACATCTCCGTGATTGCGACACAAGTGACACTTTTTAATTCTTCATTTGTTTCGGCAGTTGGAAATCTCGCCGTTGCCTATGTGTTTTATTCCACGCGTCAGTTGTGGCAGAGAAAACACATTTTTACGATCAACCTCACTCTGATAAACTTGTTCACGGCTTTGCTTGGCATTCCTACGTATTTTATTTTCCTACTAAGTTTTGCCAACGGGAATCCTTGGTGTAGACTGGGCGATGTCTCTTTTGGGATTCATCGTTTCTGTTTCAGTATGACGGTTGTGAATGTCAGCATTATAAGTTATCAACGATTTTTCTCCGTTCTTTATCCATACCGCTATCAAGCTCTACTGACTTTAGAACGACATACTCTCATCGCGGTCGCATCCTGGTTTTACGGACTAATCTTGACCGTTCCTTTTGCAGCAGAAATCAAAGTAATACCATGGCCCGTTCCGAAAGAGTTTTGCTTCGCATCGAAAATCATTCTCCTCGTTCATATTACTAGTACAATCCTGTGCTACGGAAGAATGGGCTACATCGCCTCGTGCCATCGAAGAAAGATATCGCATAATTCAAGACATATCGACAGAATTAGTAAAACCAAGAAAACATCCCTTAATCTTGTCGGAACATTGTTGGCCTCGACGTTGCCGTGGTTGGGATTAAAGTGGATGCAGTCAGAACACTCCATCCAAGTAGAGTATTTCACCTACGCAATATTCTTCACAAGTTGCTTCTTTAATCTTTTTCTCTACACGCTGAGAAATGAAGACATTGAAGCGGTCGTCCAAAGGAAGGTGAAACGAAAAGTGACGCACGAACTTCATGTCCCCCGAGCAAGAACCACTGTCCAACCACGATTCCAAGAAAGCTTAATACGTCCACATTTCATTGATATGACGACCACGCACAGTGGATGGTTGCATTAACGGTGTTTGAATATAAGTTTCGATATAAGGCTAAGCTAAATAATTATATGTACCCATTCACTGGGGGGAGGGGAAAGCCTTTGGATGATATAACTGTGTAGCAAAGTTGAATGACTGTGAATAACAAATTAAGCAGAATAACTGCATGTGTACTGTAGTAACAATGATTTTTTACCATTAAAGCATTGGTAGACTATAAATGAAGCAATATATGTCATGATATTTAAGGCAAAAGTATATTTAAAGAACTGAAATTTCCAGCAACAAAAAGGTGGTCATATATGGTGGCAACCTAAATTCGTCTCCCTCCACTCCAGTATTTCGCATAGTACAGTGTCCGCGCTCGATATACTATTCACTTTTCAAATGTTTCTTCAATAGTGTTTCCTAGTGATTCGTGTGCCCAACATCAAACACTAAAACTTTCTTGGGACACTGAGTAGTTCATGCAGAGCCTCTTTTAACACTGGGGTGGGGCAAATCCTAATCCCATTGTTGGCACCTCCAGTGAAATATGTTTCCCCTTATCATACAAGGTTCCTTCTATTTAAAATAGAAGCAAAAAGGGAAGCATTTTAGCATTCCTATGGCCAAATCATTGCCAATACCGGATGAAATATATCAAAAGTCGTGTCTAAAATTAATGCCGAAAACTAATCAAGCCCGAGGTTAGAAAATACAAAATGTTTCTCGGGGTGGACCCTCAGACTCCGCTACAAGTTCCCACATTCCCAGTTCACCACCAGTCTTGATGAACCCCCCCCCCCTCCCCCCACTGACAATTTCTGGGTAGTTGCTCTGGGTAGTTGCTATTTCCTACCTGTTTCAACAAGACCAAAGTTTCAGCACATTTCTTCGTATGTTCATAAGTCGATCTCTTGCTATCATGGAGTGCCACACGGTTTAGCTGGTGTATCTAAGAGAAACATATTAACTAAATTACTGGAAAATCCATCCGAGGGCCCGTTCATATTGTAGGCGAGCCCGGAAAATGCCCAGGATACCGGCATGTATGTATATAAAATACTCTATATACTAGGAGTCACTACCGCAAGGAAAGTGCTGCCTCAAAGGATCAAAGGCGGCATGCACAATTTGTTGAATAAGGGGCTGTTTATATGATCCCACTTTGCCGGGACGAGATGTGAAGCGGGGTTATTTTGATGTATTGAAATACGTTACGTTACACGGTTCAGCAAAAAACTATATTTTTTCTTTATCCTTTTGATATTTTACTGTAAACGAAGGGAAATGGGTGGATAAATTGGAAAATATCGCCATCTCACAGACATTTCCATACATAACCTCCCTCAAATAACACATTTTTCAAATTATAATTTGAGGAAACAGAATATTTTAATAGTTTTTACTAGACGTGTAATGTAATTCAACCAGTGGTATAGTAGACCTCTTAACTCTACAGGTTGGTGTTAGGAAGTAGTGGGATATTTTCCTGCAAAATCGCGTGAAAATTATTCGTATCCAAGCAGAAACTGCATGACTCAGTAAACTGCATCAAGTGTTTAGTTTTTTATCCACTTTTGTATACTATAAGCGATAAGTATAGATTATCATATAAGTATATCACGGCAAATTGTTTCGCCGCCTGTAGACATAGCTAGACAATCGCCGGTTGTTCCCAAAATATATCACAGGCTAAAATATTTCCACTTCAGTACAGAAATATCATACAAGGGAAATATTTCTTGCATTTAAAACACAACTTTTATACACAATATTCGTCGTTAAATATTCGGATAATATGCATGACGAAATCTCCAAAAAGGACTCTCCAAAATGGCTGGAAATGCAATGCAATGTCTGAAATTTTTAAAATCTTATATATACAGAGAGGTGGGTGATATCTCTTGGCCCACATAGCTGCCCTGCTTCTTTAAAAAAAACCTCCCACTCAAAATTCTATTGGAAACTGCATCTCGAAAACATGCATTCCCGCCATGTTACTAGATGTTAGTATTAATTATAAACAAGGCGTCGAAGACAATGCAATAATGATTATAAATGGAAAATTATTATATTTTATTATTATATTAAACACTGCAAATAACTTTAGATTTGCTCTCCCAGTTTTTTTACAAAATTTCCAGGGTTTTTTAAGGGCTAAAAGCGAAATCTCACTATTTTAGATTTTGACAGGTCTGTAGTATAGACTCAAAAAACGGTTGTCAGGTTGACATTCTTTTTTTCTCCCGAAACTAATTTCAACCAATGTAATCACTGCTGCCTTATAGACTAGGCGCTTTTTGCACATTTCAAAGGGTATAGTTTTACTTGCATGGATTGTTTTCAAGCTCTCTGTTGAAAAATTGTTTATTGCCTGGTAATGAATAAAATATAAAATAGTGGGAAATTGTGGCAGCTGGTTGCAATGTTTTGAACTTTTATAAAAGTATCCATCTATTCTAACAATCTGTTCTAACAAGCGCTACTTTAACGAGTTTTATTACAATTATTCGCCTACATACCCTCCTCGCGTAGGTGTGAATAAATTATAAGATGAAACACATTAGAAAAACAGGACCCATTAAGATGAGACCTTCTTATGAGTTAAGTAACACGCGCTTAAAACTAATGAGTAAAAATTATATTGCTTGACTTGGTTATGAGTGCATTCAGAATTTTGACTCTTTTATACGTTCCTCAATCGACAAACAAACTTAAAACTATGTTTAGTGCTTCAAGAATCTGTAAAATACTATGCTAAAATGAAGAGTCTGTTTTAGGTGGTACGCCAAAGAGAAAATGATGCCTACAGGGCTGTGGTGATCTATTTTTATGTACCTGAAAGGTCCGTGGATCACACAGTATATCACAAGACGTATCCAAGGAAAGTGGAAAACAGTAACATGGCTCTGTATTTTCAATATCGCTGTCCAGTGGTATATTGAGATCTAAATCATCGTCGATAGACAACAGATCTAAACTTTTTCTTCGAGGTCGTCTGGTCTCTATTGCCTGCTCTGGGTCAAGTCGAGACGAGCAACGTGAGGTCCTGCTACTGCCGTTCTAAAAAATATTTTCATCTCGTTTACTTTACCTTGGTTTAATGTCTTCACCAAGTTCTGAGGTAGGCGGAAACTCTTAACCAACTGGTTTTACAAACCCATTTGACAAAGCTCTCCGAGGATTAGTTACACTCTAAAAACACCCTGGCTAGAATTTTCCTGCTTAACTACAAACTACTCTATTTGGGTTAGCTATGATTAGAATACGATTAAGATTTTGACGCATGCAATTTAATGAAAACCAAACCAAAATGTATAGTACAAAAATGCGTATTCCAAAATGGTCATTTTCATTCCATATCACGTGATCATGTTTGTTATGCAGGAGGCTAAACTGTCATCAGGCGTAAACGATGCATGCCATATAACAAACGTTTTACCTATTCCATAGATCTTAAGGTGGAGTAATACGAGCAACAAAATTGCTGCAACTTGCAACAAAATCTGATTTCAATGTATGTTACTCGCGTATGTTGCTCGTGTTACTCCACCTTTACTCTACATCATACTGTCAACCCTATTTTATAATTTTTTTATTTTACAATGAAATATTTCTAACCTTATGTGCAGGACAAGCTTTCCGGCATTTCTCGCGCCGTAGATAATGCAACGTAATTGACCAAAACCTTACTTCTCCTTCATCACCATAAAGTCTGAAAAACATTTTGAATTTTTTAAATTAAAGCACAGATTAAATCGCCCAGTGGCGTACGTGGTTTCACTTACTGAGCAGCCAGAAAGCAGCGCTGCGCAATACCAAGTGGAGCTTCTGGCAAAAAGTCTTTTATATCACTAAAAATACAATATAATATCATAAAAATTGGGATCTGAGAACATTTTAGTCGCCCTTAATCTACCAGAAAAGAAAAGCAAGTAAAGAATTCAACCTTATACGTCAACGTACTCTGGTAAATTGCTGAGAAGTTCTGCTACTTGATCTTTTTTCTCCTGGGATGACAGATATCTGAGAAACAAAAGTAACATTTTCCATGTGTTTTAATCAGTTTGTGCTATAGACTAACTTCTCACTGAAAAGCTTACAGTTCATCCAAATCTAAAGTGTATTTTCCATTCCAGGGTTGATTTCGAAGAATTGATTTAAACATGAGAGCTTTTCTTGGCGGTAAAAGATGTGGACACCACAGAGAGTCTAGGAAGAAATATCACAGACACTTTAATACTACACAACAGTATTTTTATCACCAATAGCCAACTATCTATATAAATTCGCCTTAAAGTGTTTAAAATATATGTGGAAAATCTGGGTTAGCGCCTCGTTTTTCAATTTTCAACACACTTTTCGGTATTTTACACGCTGGTAGTAAACGCTTTCTCGTTATTTTATACATTACTTCATACCTGTCAAGTCTTGTTCTGACATTGGTGAACACGAACGTTTCAAGTTGATGTCCATCATTCTCATTGTGCCGTTGGAAAACAGCAACAAAGGAACATCGGAAGAATACCAGTCAATGTCCACGACTGAAACAGAATCTCGTAGGGTTCTCAATGAACTTGTCCGTTCAGACTGTAAATAAAAACAAATGAGTCATCAATTCTTCCGATAGGTAATACTGTGGGTCTGTTTGTATACGAGTCTTGCTGGGATGACAAATTGTCCATTGGGCACCAGCGCTCTAAAATAATCTGGCGTTCGACAGAGTGAAATAATAAAGTAGGGCGCATTGGGACGCAATAAATTCAGTGGGTTAACTAGACATATGGGCAGACAGTCCGATTAACCTATCGAGCGCCAGCGCTCTCCCCATTGCTTTTGGCGCGAAAAATTCCCGCCTTTACTTTTAGCTATAGCTATACCTTTCCTAGGTCCCAGATCTCCACTCCATCATTGAACTGCAACATTAATTTCACATTGCCACGTCCTGGGGCGAATTTCATTTTCTTTATTGCACCGCGATGGGTACTTTGATTTCTAAAACAATAACATATCCAATTTAAATTATGGACACGAGAGGCAACAAAATGTATTTCCTACAAAATATATTTAAGGTGCCTTCCAAATAGAAAATTTAGCTGTACTATTGACCTTAAGGAAAACTTTATACGGTAGTAATCAAAAAGCAATTCCTTCTTGTATTTTCAGGTTTGAAACTTTCTAGCAATGCAAAATTATGAGAAAGATTCGACATACCTTGACAAGCGATGTCGAAGTTCCCAAATACTAAAATTACCATCCGCGTCGCCAAGGATCACGGTATCGCCTTTCCAAGCGATACTTGTTATATTACCCATGCTGCCCTGCGAGGATAAGACATAAGAAAGTATATATAAGGATATAGACGGTCATTAATTCATTGTTAGGTGATTGACAAATGATGTATTGGTTGATTGAGTGGTGTCAAATATAACATTCAAAATTGCCGGGGGCATGTCTCTATACAACCCTACAAATAGATTGAGCGCCTCGTACTTCAAGATGAAAGGCAAGACCTAAATTTAAATACCAAAAATTTTGGTATAAAGTGTGAAATATTATAAAGTAAGAACGTACATCTGGAGGAACCTTGCTACTGTCTTTCACAGATGTTCCTTCAACAAAATAATGAAACAACATTCCATCTGTATTTGTGAAGATGAAATGTTCCTTTAGCCACACCTAGGAATGTAACAAATTTATTCAAACACACTATTCTAGCAAATATCGAAGAAACTGAACTACGCTAACCTAAACTTACCGGCGTAGTTGTGATTTCTGTTTTACCGCTGTCTAAAACGTTCGCTGCCTTTTCTTCTGATCCTTCAGCAGTCGAGTTCTTGTCCTCTGTCTGTTGGATTTGTTTCTTCTTCTGTTTCGAGTAGTGGCTGGGAGACCATTCCTAGAGTGAATGAGAGCGAAAATGAAATTTTACTCCAGAGTCCAGCCTAGACCTAGGACCTTAACAGGGATCGATAATATGCGCGAACGTCCGAGCGCCGCTCACAGGCACCTTTTATATTTTTGCAGGCACATTTTAAAATACTGACATTTTAACAATATTTAGGTCACAAAATCTAAATAAGATGTGTTTTTGCAGGCACATTTTGAATTTCGCTCGCAGGCACGAAAAAATGTTATCGAGGCCTGGACCTTAACTCAGCTGGCTTTTGCAAGTTTGGTCAATTTTGGGCTAGCATTTGGTAAGTATGACAAATGTTAATGCTCATTAATCGTGATATTTACACCCAATAAGTGTTATAGATGTTTCAATACACATATAAGGTGTAAATTTGGAGTTAACATCACAAAATTAGTGTTAATATTTACACTAAATCAGTGTCTATACAGCTGCAATGATTTACACCATGTGAATTTTGTGCAAAATCCAAGACAAGACCAGAACGGCGGTGGTGAAAAGATTGAGCTCTCTGAAAAACAAACATGTACTACCTATATAGCATAGACCAGTGGCACCACCGCAATCAGATTAACCTCAACCTACATGCCCCCGCCGACAAAACAAAACAAAAGAAAACTCGTACGACACTCACCAAGGCTGAAATAAGAGGAAAGTGCGCGGACATTTCACGAAGAAGACACAGATTCTTCAAATCCCAGATTTCCAGAGGCTTCTCTTTGTAAACGATTGCAAAGTATTGCCTACAAAAACACAGACAAACATTTTTCTAAATTTTCCTAATATTTTATTTGTCGGTAAAATATTACGAAACATTAGGTTGTGTATTTTTGTACGATCTCCTTCGTTATTCAAACTGTACAATCTGTATAATAGGCACTCCAAACTCCATTCAACAATAGTCCAGACCATCCCAGAAAGAAAAAGATTGAATTTATATTAGAAGACGGATTTCCGTCTGAGACGGAAAACTCGTCTAAGAGGAGAAACTGGTCTAAGACGAGAAACTCGTCCAGATATAAATTCAGTTAATGATGGGTTTACCGTCTCAACTTTTCCGTCTAACTTTCCCGTCTGAGCGACGAGAAAGTTAGACGAGTTTATTGTCTTAAAGTTATATCAGACGTCGAATAAATCAAGACGGGTTTCAGCCTATGGTTTCAGCACGTGAAAGTGAAAAGAGACTGGGATTGAGGGTCTCCTGTTTTTCGGGTTTATCCGTCCGATGGTTTTCGTTTCATATTCATACCAGACGGAAATCAGTCACACGAGTTTCGCGTCTTAGACGAAACTCCGTCTTCTAATATGAATTCAGCTACCATGTCTCAAAACGTTGTTACACCACTGACGTACTGTGCAATAGTTTTCGATTAAAAAAGAAGTTTAATTATTGAACTCATGCTTCTTACTTCAGCTGTGACACTTTGATAGACGTAATGGTCTTCTCTTCAGAATTTTTCGACAAAGGAAGTGGCGTATTTTGGCCTATAAAACACATTAAAAATTGAAAAGAAGAACGGAAAAAACTCAATATAAACATCGGTAGAATAAGCAACACAAAGCAACGATTGAAAATTTACTTGTTGTCCAATTCAGAGCGGGAAATTGGGGATAAATGTAACACTTGCCTGTCTTAAGGTCGACCATAAACACTTCACTCCTTACACTACTACTGTGAGACCAATAAGACCAACTCAAGAAATTTTTTAAGCTTGACCACACAACACCTCTAGAAAAACACAGTTTTATCACTCTTTTACAATATTCCCATAATCTACCAAACATAGAGAGTGAAATATAACGCACCATATATACAATACCTAACTGGGGCGCTGTGAAGGTTGAACTCTCTAACCATCAGGCCAACGGACAAATCAAATACTTGTACTGAACCAGACGAGCTGCCTAAAACATTTATACAAAATTGGTTACTTTTTGTGACACGTTTTGTTTCTTTCTTTTCTGTCTGTTTCTTTGACAGTGCAGTAGGAACGATCTACAGCCCCAGATATGTTGCAACACTGCCCATATGTTACTTGCAAGTCCTATCCTCTTTCCCGCCTTCCACAATGTTGATAAAAACGTTGCGTCATCAGATGGAAAGCAAAAATATCTTGTTTCACCAAGGTGTCTGTAATTGAGTAACACCATGCATAAACACCCGCCAAGTTTATTCAGGTCGAAACTTACCAACAGCCACAAGTGGTTTGTACTCTGGCCAATTCTTGGTCGTCATTGGTGGACACATTGCTGCACAAATTGGCGACGCTTGCACGTTGCTCAGCAACCCGATAAGAAGAAACCTAAAACTATTCTTCACACCCCCCTGCTGCATAGATGGTGGAAGTATATCGGCAAGGGTCTTTTCCGGGGAAGAGACCATCGCTGATATGAGGGGGGTATCTGTGGCAGTTAAGGGAAGGGAAGCTTTGAGACATTCATCTGACATCAACATAGTATCCGATAATGACTCGCTGGTCGATTTTACATTCCAGATTAATAATCTTCCATCACTTACAAGTAGAATTACCCCGGTTTCTGTCACAGGGCAAGCCACAAACCCACTAACATAACTCGATTTACTCAATCTAAATGCGTCAGACTGACATTTATTCTCGTAGATGATATCCGGACATGCGTCCTCGATTTCTGCTGAGTCAGCAGGGTACGGGTTTGTAGTCACGTGACGCCGACATCGCATCGTGATACTGCCATTGTCATGGAGAGTATATATGACATCACGTTGGGTACATGGCAGGACGGCATGGGTGAATGAAGGACTATTTCGCTCGAGATAGATGGAGCCAATGGCTTGGTTGATAGCTGTGTCAATGAAAAGAATCTCTCTGGAGAACACCAAAAGAATAAGATCTCGACATGATGGGTGGTAGACCAGTTGCAGGCACTCACTTAATGCAACGTTTACTTCTTCCACTCTAAAAATATTCAAATTAATTTCTCATACTGGCCATACTCATTTTTATAGAAATTTGTGAGTAACAAACTCCTTAATTAAGGGGCAGACCATTAGAAATCCCGGGAGGGGGTATAAAACTTTTGCGGCACGATTTTTTTTTCAGTTTCGTGTCACTGCAGGATTTTTTTATGCATTTAACCTCTGCAATAATTTTTTTCAAGATTATTTGCACTTTGCTTGCACGATTTTTTTTTTCTCTGGCGTAATGGCTGCGCGAATTTTTTTCCAGGCATGTTTCTTTGCACAATTTTTTTGGGGGGGGTTTTCACCCCCCCTCCCGGGATTTCTAATGGTCCGCCCCTAACTAAATACTACTGGTTGTGCTTGGCAAACCCTTGGTGTTTGGTAATGGTTGGGTCACTAATTGAAAGCACTCTCCTTACATGGTTTAGAGATGAAATTACAATCAGGCAACAGTATATATTGCAAGAATCGAACTGTGATCACTGACGCAGGGCCTGTTTGTATGAGTCTGGTTGACCAGGAAACTCACATGAGTGGTTTTTATCTGGGTTTCCGTTTCCCGACCCAACTTACCTAGCTTTTAGCCACTGAAATTAACAACCCTAATCTTCTTATCTGAAGGTTGCAATGAGTGTGGAGCAATTTTTGGTACACAGTCTGTGCCATAAGTTTTGTACTTAGTTATACTGTATGAAGTATAACCTGTTTGTTCCAAAGTTGATACAACATTTAATGAATGTTTGTGCTATGTTTGCTGCCATAATTGACATAGAATATCATTCTCTTGTGCTTGAGCATTGATATTTAATAATTACATTTATTTTTGTTGCTATTAAGTTTTGACAAAAAACCCCCAAGAAACCCAGCTTATTTTTTGGCCTCAAGAAAAAGACTCTTTAATTCAGAATACTACAATACCTAGTTTTGCTTTCATTTGCCGCCCAAAGTTTCACTCTTTGAAATGCGGATTTTGAAGGAGTCCTAAGAGTATTACTATTTCCAAAAGAGGATAAGCTGTTGTTTGATCCGGACGAGCCTTCGGAGCTGGTCATGTAGAACCTTCGACCATTTCCCTCAGGGCCTTGATTCACTGAGAAATCATTCAGAAATACCAGGTACTCTTGAGACATTACTACACAATAGAAAATAAAAAAGCTGGCTCTATTAATGAGGCTACATTTTGGGCATCTCACTTGGCAGAACAATGTAAGTTACAATTTTCAAGAAACATGTGCAGGTACCTACCATGCTAAAATAGACAAACACGAAAACGAGGTCATTGGGGGGTAAAAGTGCAATAAAAAGTCAAGTCTATTATAGTTGAATATAACCATCACACTACATACATGTTACTTTAGCAGGACTGAATGGGTCAAATGCAAAACATATCAAACTCTCTTGAAATGTCTTTTTCCATAACTTGATCCCAGTGTCAGCATTCCACAATACGAGAGAAGAGGGTGAATGAAGTGCAGCCAGGAGATCGTGCGAGGCATCCTGGGTCCACAACCAATGTAGATCCAGTACTGGTTTCGAACCATCAGAGAATTCACTCAGAGATATGCCTTGACTTACATCCCAGATAATGATATGTCCAGTGGTGTCGGCCGAGGCCAGACGAAGGCTGTAAGGACAGCCCAGGTCATGGTGGTAGTTTTCACGACACCATTTTACCTGAAAAAATTGGGGAAAAGAACATTACTTTTACTGCATGGACATAGTCCTACCATGCAGTTCCACAGGAATTGCAGCACAATAAACTGTATGCAAATTTTCTCTTTTGAATCCTATACATATAGTTAGTGTCCCATCATGTCTGACCATATGTAGCTAAACATTGTTAATAAAATGTCAAGATGTTAACAAGATTTAAAAGTCGCCTGCTCAAAAGTTGCTGCGGGCAATGACAACACTCACCTTGACAACATTTGACTGGTGAAGATCCAAAGTCTGAATAATCTACATTTACAATGAAATGAGCGTAATGTTATTTGATTACAGTTCTGGTGCTACTGTTCCACAAAAGCCTGATAGCATTATCCACCTTGAATAGTGATTTTTTCACGCTTTCTTAAATTGCCCGTTAACCAGAGACGGATTTTCATATTTTCGTTCGGGGGGGGGGTGTGGATAAATATCTGGGGGGGTACCACTGCTTGCTTTGGCTGGGGCGTGGTGGCAACGCCCAGAAAGGCCAAGGAAAAAGTTTGTTTTCTAGGCCTGACGTACGTATGGCGAGATCTGAGTCCATAATATTGGTAATTTTACAAATTTAGTAGTAAGAATAATCAAATATGAAACTATCAAATCAAAATATATATATTATATTTGTGGGGGTGCAAAAACGCTTGGGGTGGTGCCAAATGCCTCTGGGGGGGGGGGTGCAAATAATTTCTGGGGGTTGTGCACCCCCCAGAAAATCTGTGCCTGCCGTTAACCCTGATTAAACTTTAGTGAACAAAAATTAAATTGTGGGATCTTTAGTTCCTTATTTATAGTTTTATCAATGTACAAAAATCACTAGGGACAACATATGTTTTGTTGTACTCTATAGTGTCAGTGAGAATGATATGAGTTTTTCAAATGAGGACGGTTCTGAAATGAACACCTAAGTCTAAAGATATTTATCAACATGACTGCACCTGTACTGTCTCAGGGTCAACAACCACAACAAAGTTGTGACATCCATATGCCAACATTGATTGCCATCCCCTGAAAGAGAGAAAAGACATTATATAATAACTACAGTGAAACATGCAATTTGATTGGTCAATAGCCATGCAGGATCAGGCTATCCTGCACGAGGAATTAAAATGCCTGCAGCTCGAGTATTTTTACGCTTTCCGAAAGTCTCGTGACATCCCTCTCGCGAAAGTCTCATGCATGGATCACACAATCCTGCACGGAAAACCATTCGGTATTCCTTTAATATGACATGTACTATTATATATAATAAAATATAATGAGGGAAAGTCAGAAAGACAAATACTTGTAAAGTAGGGCAAAACTTGACAAGATCTTGTGCGTGCATGTAAACATAGACAGGTATTAGGATTTCTGCATGCACGCCTGTCCATGGACATCACTCTCATTTGTGATGAATCTCATTTAACTGGCAACAAAATGCCACAATTTCGAATAGCCCATTGCTATTACGTTATTTAGGTTTCATTTTCAACATTTAGGTATTTTTTTCACTTTCAACTCAATGTTTGTCTTTTAAGAGGAAATTAAGTCGGGATTCCTTGTACTTTCCCTTTGTGTCGCCTGGACAAGTCTACAATACGCCCTTCCGGAAAGTATGTTACTTTGGCTATAGAACGTTGTTTTTGTGACAACAGTTAAAACCCACGTCTCAATCACGTAAACGAGGCTCTATAGCCAAGGTGACATACTTTCCGGCCAGCGTGGAAAGTTTGTATCGCGCGCGCGCGGCAGATATCTCCGGCGCGCAATTTTGATGCTTTCTATATATTTACTATTAAATTTTCGAAATCTCCAGCACGCAATTTCCTAACTTTCCAGTCTGGCTTTCCGGAAGCGTGTACGGACACAATTCAAAGTCCTGACAAAATCCATTTGTCATTGAGTTATAAACTAATTTTATAATATTTGTATTTTCATACAACATTGAATGGCGGAGATATTGATGTCTTAAAACAGCAAATAAAAGTGTCTACTGTGCAATAATTACCTTCTGTACAAATTACAATATTTTTATATAAATGGTTTGTATTTGAAATTGCCAAATTGGGCGAAAATTATATGGCAAATTTCAAAGCTACGTACCAATCGCAAGATCCTTTATTTTGAACATGTAGTGAACCAGGAATTAACTTCGGAGTTAACTTCATAGTGGTAATTTTCTCATTTTTCTTCAAAGAGATCAATACACTTTTGTTTTTTAAATCCCCATATTTGTTACATTTGATTACTTGCTTACACCAATTATTCAACTTAAAAATGTACATGCATACCGCTGGGCAATAAGATTGTTAAAAAATCTGAGCCGCTATCCAATGGCCAGCAGATACATGTGTACATTTCAATTACTTTGTATAAGATTGCATAACATACACATTCAAGTTTGGATTTTGGACTGTAAACATCTGCATTGAAAAAGCTGTTTTATTATAATATTGGGGAATCTTTTTAAATTTGCATAGAAATTAGACATCGATTCAATCACCAACACAAGGAAAATGGTATGCGTACAAATAATCAATTGTCCTTCGAACCACAAAGGAATTAGGTCTAATTTTGGTGGCTTTGTGCGGTTTGTAGTTCGCGTCATAAATGTGTACTTTGAGATTAAATATAAATTTATATAGCAATTGCATTTCAAAACGTGTACTCGCATTTTATATATGTAAATTTGCATACTTTCTTATTAATATTTTTGTTTTTATGTTCAAATCCGACTCTCCCTTGCTAAGAGATGAATTTTTAATTTTATTTTATTTTTATTTGAAATTTTAGATCAAATTACAATGTAGTTTGGTATACTATAAATAATAAGAATGGGTATGTTGACTGACGTGTTTACAAAACAAAACGTAAACTTTAGTATTCGTTTTAATCATAGATAGGTTTAAGGTTTTAATGCACAAGAATAACTGTTTGTACTGCTTAATATGGCAGTACATGCTATGGCCTCCCTGTTACAAACAGTTTGTATAAGCATGTTTACACAAAGCTCCATTTTTGGCATGACAAGAATGGTACCCATACCAAACTTACTCTTGCTTGGACAGGTAGACCTAGCACATGTTAATTTGGTACAGCTCGAGCCAGAATTTGAGCGTTGCTTAACCAGGCCTATATATTTATTCCTTGACAAATCAGCCTGATTGGAAAGTTTGAAAATTGTGCACCTGGGATTTAGAAAATTGAATAGTAAATATACAGATAGCATCAAAATTGCAAGCTTGATATCTCAGTTGCACAATGGAAACTTTCCACACTGGTAAATCAGCTCTTCCGGAGTCTAATTACATGCTCTATAACTCAGCTGTAGAGCAATTAACAGACCCATAGCAACAAAAAATTTAATGGCATAGACAGATTTTCCAACTTATTTTGCACCCCCTGAATTTTCGGCCAGGTCAATTTAAGTGTGTGACACTCTACATATATTCTCAGATCAACCAGACCCTCCAGTGGTTGGTAGGGTCACTCACTGCAATGTTGAATTGTTTTGGGATCAAGAAAGGAAACACACTGAACCTGATTCTGAAGGAAGAATAAAGTATTGTGTGCAAGAAGAGGAGGGGAACTCAAGACGATATCACAATGTGTATTGGTTAGTTAAGGTTCAATACATGAATGAATGAACAAATGAAGGAAAAAATTAATTTATCTATCAATGTTAAATATACTCTTATCAGCAGGGCCACCATTTTGCCCCAGGCCACCAGTTGAAAAGATGCCCCCAAGTCATGAAGGCCCTTAAAATTTCTTGATACAAGATTGCTTAACTGAGAATATAAATCCTTAGTGCCTCTGCACTAATGCACAATATATTGAAAAACACTGCTAATTCTCATGTTTATGATGTCATAGGGTCCCCTTGGAAAATTTTATGATGCCATACTAGGACCACCTGGGAACATTTGGCCCCAAACATTCTGTTAATCATTCTGTTACTCATCAATCATTAATTAAACAATCATATCCTCAATAATGACTTCCTTCATCAGTATCAATTATTGACCCATCTTATTTCCTGCACATATTTAATTTAGTCTCTCAATTAATGAAACGATCAAATATATCTATTTTTAGTGGTTATGCAAAAACATGTATATTATATGGATTGAAGGAAAACACAACACATAGATACAGAGTTCAAATCAACCTCCCTACCATGTCTAGTCCTTGGAGTTCAGCGACGGAAGTTACAACTATGAGTAAGAAAGGACTGGGGGGAGCCGGCTTGTCCCCCAACCCCAAAGTTGACCCCTCCAGTCAACTTTTATGTTGCTTCCACCCCCCCTCTCCCCAATGAAGGTCCCTTCTATCTACAAGAATCTAAATAATTCATGAGGAAAAGACAAAGGAAATCACTGCCGTGTCGATGGTTTTATATCAATGATAAAAAATTATGTTCATTTGCATAAACTTTAGCTTTGATTTTCTCGGCTTAGACAACGTTTATAATTTTTAAAATTACTTCGCCAATGAACTGTTTAGATGGGTCGTTTTTTAATTAGCCATTTAAAACGCTCGCAGCCCGTGCCTTACCAGATATAAAACACTCGAGCTGCACTCTCTCTACAGTATATCAATATAAAATTATATAGTTAGGAAGACTAGCGGATGAAATATATAAAACATTGTTAATTTATTATTGGGACGAACCCTATGGCTGTGGTTTGCACACACGCATATACAGGCACACGTCATAAGTTGGGAGTACACCACGATGTTAATCCCCGTGTTTACCCACATATGCAGATATTAATGAACAAAGTTTATGGAAGTTTATGGGAATGCTAAGCCTAAGGCATAAAAAATTTCTCTTGTTTCAGTCATTCTATTCTTATTTGCGTAGGTTTCCCATGTTCTGGAGCAGAACTTCACAGAGCAGTTTTAAACTGGGATGTCGAAAAAATAAAAACTATCTTAGAGAACTAGTAGGTTATATTTCCTTCATTGTTCACGTTCACCTCACAGCATTGAAACCCCCGAGTAGGAGTACTTTTAACGATGGCTGGATCAATATTAAAGACCGATGTCTGTTTGAACTGGAGCAAATAAAAGTTACTTTGTCTGATAATTTGCAATACACATGTAAAAACAACTTGTAACAAACCTGCAGCAGACTTGAGCCAAAATCTGTTTCAACAACTTGTTATCAAGATGCAGCTTATGTGCGCACTGCGTGTACCCACCTTGTTGACAACGGCTTGTTGACAACGGCTTGTTGACAACTTGCTACAAGGTTGTTGACAGAACAGACTTGTTACAAGTTGTTCCAACAAGTTGTTATCGTTCTGCAATTCAACAACTTGTTAAATAACAAGTTGCGAGTGCGCGTGAAACATTGCAACTTAATTTATAAAACGACAACTTGTTGACAAGTTTGCTATACAAGCCTATTTACTAACACATCTTGTTGACAAGATGTGAAATTTGACGTATATAGATGGTAGTATGAAATATAATCTATAGATACAGGATTTTATAAATCTCTCTTGTTCCCTTTTGGGAAGAAGAATTCGCAAACTACCATTTTTTTGTAGTGAATCCCTGGTGGACGTTCCTGACAAAATGGGCTGTTCTCCTCTCATGGTGGCCGCGCAGAAAGGATATACAAGGTGGGGATTCGGTTATTCTATACCGGAAAATAATGCCGACTACAATCTACCATTTTGAAATAATCGGTAATGGACCCATTGTGCTAACTTTATTTTAGTATTGTGGACATCTTACTGAATAATGGTGCCGACGTGGCATTCTCCAATTCCAGCGGCAAAGATAGGTACGAAAATTGAAGACCTACTATCGGAAATATTGCTATAAATACTATTAAATAGTAAAAAAAAACAACTTGTGGTTAATAGGGAGGTCTATAAATAGTACAAAACACTCAAATCAAGTAGCTCGGTTACCCTTTGATTAGACAACCACTCCCTCAATACAAAATTACCTCGATAAATTAATCACACCCTTACTCAATTATTCAATCTTCAATCAACAGTTATTTTATTTTTATACATTATAGTATGATGATGGCATGTTTTACCGGCCATATCAATGTAGCTATAACATTAAAAGAGCACGGCGCTTCACTCAGTGTGAGAGACCAAGGAGGTACTATTAATTAATATATTTGCCAGTAGTTTTATGAACATGCCCCTTATGGCCACCAAGCAGTTTTAACATGGTTAATGCGGTGCCCAAACGAAGCTATAAAGCATCGCTTTGTACGTATTCTCAAACGGTCTGTGCCAGTGTAGGTACAACCCAGTGAACTCTAATAATAACTGGAAGGCTAAGTCAGGGGGGGAAGTTGAAGCCGTGCTTGAAGCTTTTTTTGTAGGTAGACCCAGTCCTTTTTACATTTTTTTTTCAAAATATGCACATTTTTCGATCACAAAAATCTTGCCCCAAAATATTAGTTATACTACCAAATTTAATTTATATCAGTAGTATTATAAATGAATTTAATATTCGCAAAGCAAACAAATCACGTATTAGCAAAAAAATACGAAAAAACACGGCCATAAGCATGAACGGTCAGAAAAACCGCGCGTTTTAGGCTGCTTTTTCTGAGTTTTTGGAAGTTTAAGATAAAACTAAGACGTCATACCTCAGGAATTTTTTATACCCATGCAAAATACATCTGTATGCGAAGTTTCAAGAAGATTGAACGTTTTAAGGTCGAAAAAAAAAGCATTTGAAAATTGACAAAAATATTGCCATATTCAAAGTGCTCATAGTGGCCAACAAGATGCCGATGACGAAAATAACATCACTTGAAAAACGCCAATTTATTTATGTTTAAGAGCGACTAAAACAAGGTCTAAAAGCTCAGGATCAATAACAATACCTGGGGTTTAGTACAACATAAGTTTTGGGACTGTCAAAATGTTTTATAGTATATATTTTTTAGTTGAACGGCGAGATTTCCTTCGGCACATCCAAACTTTCGTCATTTTTTCAAAATACAAAAGCAAAATTCCTTACTTTTTGCTGCAGAGAGATGTAAAACAGTCGGAACTAATCGGAAACTTGGTTTAAATCCCAAGTCATTGTTGTATTCCCATGGGAAAAGTGTTTTTCTTGCACATTTTTGCTCGAAAACAAACTTTTGACAGAATTTTTTTCACTCCTCGAAACTCTCCTTAGTCCTTTTGAAAGCTGATTTTCCCGCGCGCCGGCTTCAACGAATCATAGACTTTCATCATAGGAGTTAGCCTTCCAGTTATTATTAGAGTTCACTGGTACAACCTCGGTCCCAGGGTCTTTCTTGTCTTTCTTTCCTAAAGACCCTGGGACCGAGGTTGGTGTAGGTAGCGATGATGGCAAGAAAGCTTCGGATTGAGACAGATACAACTACTTGAAAAATACAAGCAGAACGTAGACACTTCGAGCGAAGTCCCTCCGTCGGGAAATTAGTAGCCAAACTAACTAGGTTAGTACGAAAAGCCTTCGCTCGAAACGTCGAAGTTCTTCTTGTATTTTTCAGGTAGTTGTATCCCTATCAGGGCCCCGTTATCAATCCGTAGCTTTCTCATCGCTTTTTATTCGCGGAGTGAGTTTGTTAGTCTCTTAGTTTGTTTGGAATCATAAGCCTTGCTATTTATTCCAAAAGTAGTATGTTTTCGCGCTTGTGGTGCACTTGTTTTGCGCATGCTCTAGGGCGCACCGCAATGTAGTACCATGTCTGGTTTTTATTAAGAAGTCGTCCGAAATTTAGGATTTCATCTATTCTGTATAGGTTCAAACGCTCTTCATTGGGCAGTGGATGGCGGCAGAGCAAGTGCTGTAGAGTGGTTATTGGGGAATGGAGCTGAGGTTAGTCAATCAATGTAGTGTAGTAATATGCGATTAAGGTGGCGATTAAGTTTTTCAAAAAATGAGACATTTGTGAGTTAGATCCATATTTGTGGACAAGTATTACTTGTTGGAACAAAAAGCATCTAAAACAACATCTAAAGAGTTTGAAGGTTGTTTAGAGATTGTTTTGCAGTGAGGTACTTTTTATTTTTCGACAAATAATAATTCTCCAAAAATACGGATCTAAATCGTGAATATTCCATTTTTTAAAGACTGTACTGAGCCACCTTAAGACGGAATAATATAAAAGCTATATAAGTTTTAATCAAGTTGAAAGATATATTTATCTACGCGTATTCAGGTTGACGAATTAGACACGGCTGAATGGACACCACTGATGCGAGTAGGTATGTGCCAGGTTATTGGCCTGTCAGAACCAATTTTGTTCTTTTATTGCGTACTTATTGGAAACAAATGAAGTGAATGAAATTAAATGCAATACTTTTGCTTGTGTAGCAACGTTAGATGGAAAAGCAGAGGTGGCCAAAGTGTTGTTGGATGGAGGGGCGAATGTGAACACTCATGATAAACAAGGAAGGAGCGTTTTGATGGTTAGAAAATTTCATCTGTAAAATGCAAACTAAAGGAAACCTTCTTTTGGAAACACTTGAAAAATTCTGATGTTTTCTCCAATATTTCCCGTAGGCCGCTGCATTGTCTGGTCGACTTGACCTTGTCCAGCTGTTGGTTGAATATGGCGCTAATACCGAAGAACAAAACATTGTATGTATTTTTTTCATGTTTGACAGTATTATTAGTGCTGTTACAAGGTAATGCCTAGTATGAACATTATTGCTCTAATTCATCGTCGTTCATTAAAATGCCACAAACCAGGTATGATTTTCGGCAAAGTGTAGTAAGTATTTGGGTTATTCTGAGAAGAATTGTAATAAATCATTAATAGTAAATTCGAATCTATTCATATTTTATATAGCATGGAAATACAGCCTTGGATTTTGCCGAGTCGTTTGGTCGATATGTAAGTGGACAGGTGATACCTGTAAAAGCCTTTTATAAAATAACATGTATATAACGCGTGCTCTGATTGGTCGAAACCCGTATTTGGATCAGGCCATCCAAACACGGAAATTTAAAGTGAAAGTTTTTTAAAGTGAAATGTTAACACGGAAAGTTTTTATTTTATAAAACAATTACTTTATGGTTTCCGTGTTTGGATGGCCTTCGGCTCGTGTTTCGCGTTTTTCTTAACTCTCGCAACATTCCCGCGTGTTTGGATCAGGCCATCCAAACACGGAAACCATAAAGTAATTGTATAATACTGTTGTTGGACAAATTTTCCCCTAGAAAGTAGCCCACCTCCCACGCTGAAATCTGTTTTCAACGAAATAATATATTTGGACTATTTTTCATTCTTAGGAGGTGATCTCTTATCTGCAAGCAGTCCAACCTCCAGAGCAAGAGAAACAACCACACAAAGCCCCTGAGGTTAACTATGTATGACATATGGGAAACTATACTAACATTATTTTAATATATAAACATAGTTTTTATTTATTTTTATAAGAATAGTTTGTAATTTGGTTTTAAAGATTGTTTAAAGATTGTTTTAAAGAGAGTTGAAGATAAAAAAACTACGATTGAAATTGTTAATGGGACTTTAATATGATGGTGTTTATCAAATAATAGAGAAGTTCAGATTTGACTTTCACAGCCGCTACCCCACAGGTTTACTACGCATTTGATTGGTTAATTGGGTAGATTAAATGCATCTGATTGGTTAATGGTAACGGTAGTGGAAGTCAAAATCTGAACCTCTCTAGTATTGCAGCCTTAACATATAGATCTCTCTACTTTATGTCTAAAAAAATAGTTGAGCACTCGCACGAAATGTTGACCAGCGGCAGGTAATTTGTTAGGTTGAAGAATTGCAACTTGAAAATTTAAAGGAAACCCTAACACGTATGTTCCACTGTGTATAGGTCCAACAACTGATGTTTCACAGACAACTTTCCCTGAATTTAAAACTATGCTCAACTACGACACTATGTTTAGGCACAGACTGAGCACAAAAATATTCACGTGGTCTGAAGGAAATTTTTATTTCAATTTTGCTCACTTGAACAAAAATAATTTCCTAGAGGCCAGATAATTTGGGAATCACCCTAATTGCGAGAAGTGTTTGAATAACTCTATACATTTGGTTTGTAATTGTTCAGTAATTCGGCGATTTTTCCGCGCCATCTTGGTTGGTTCCATGAAATGATTCGACGCGGTATTGGTTGATTTTAAAACATATCATATTTTTTAAATCATCGTTAGTATGTGATCAGGTCATTGCGCGCCATATTCTTTGAATATCCTAATCAATGAGGTAAAAGTATTTCCTATATACATTCCTTGTCTTACCGTATCAAGCACAGTTTTGCGGTCAACTGTCACTGAACAATTTTCTGTTCATGTGTACTGCGCAATCCAGTACAATTTGTGAGACCAGTTAGACTTGCTTCAAGTCTCGCGCAAACGCAAATCGTCCACTTCAGCCACTGTTGGACAAGTTGATTTCACTACGCACTATCGTGCAGCAGATGGTGGTTAACTGGTTATTTTTCATAATATACTATGTACAGTACTTAACTTGTTTTTGGCAGCAAGTAAATAGAATTGAGGTGCTTGTCCCTATATAAGTATAAACTAGTTGAGTGCCATCTGCCGCTCTGTAACACTTTCTGAAACCTATCAGTAGTTACCACTCTCTTCACGCTGCAAACTGTTCCATTTCTGTTGTGATTTTCTCCATATTTTTCCAAGGTATTAACATAACAGTTCTATATGATCTCATCAGATCGTCATCGTCCCGCCATTTTCCAGTCACGAGGACATCACTTTGCTCTGTGACGTCATAGTCAAACTGAGCCAATGCTTTCTGTATAAAAATTGACAAAGGCTCAAGTTAGTCTAAGGTACTGTGTACTTGAGATTGGGGCCTATACGCTTCACTTAAGGTTACATTATATGATGAAACTCTGATTTTGTCCAAAAATATTTTTTTATATATTCATATTAAGTAATGATATATCTCTCAATTCCAGCAACTTTTTTAAGAATATGTTAAAAAGCGACCGAGATATAGGGGAAAATGCTATGACCACTGAATAGCTTTGCGCGAAACTTGTAATTATGATTGAACTTTGCTGGCATCAAATATCAAGGTGTGAAATTCACTAAAGTATAAGCAGTGTTATTGTTCGGAGGCATATATCACTGCGACAACATTAGAAAGCTTATAATATAGTATTTACAGAATCTCTCGAAGTTCAAGCTATGTGCGATGTCGGCTTCAGTGACTTTTCTACTTGCGTTTGCGTTTTGTAGTCTATAGACTATAATTCTATAAAGATAAATGTGATAAACACCTTGCCAAAAATATTAAAGTTTGGTTGTTTGTGATTGGTTAACCGCACGAGGTCACAAGTGGATTAACATTGGGGGCGGAGAAAATGACAGAAAGAGTGCAAACCTCGTCAAATCTTAAATCGTCGTTTGAAGAGAAAGCAAAATTGCCCAATCTCCTTGACAAAAAAAGAGTTTAACGACAGAGCGTTTTATCCGATTGGTCCCAAACTTGACCACACTGTTAATAAATAATAAAGGAACAAAAGTGTGTTCGCGTTTTCGATTTAGTGCATTATTTTTCAATGTGGAAGCATCTCTTCAATCGCTTATACCCGCGCAAGATAAGTCAAGTTGTCTGCTTTATATCAAAGCAAATAGAATAGCTGTCAAAAAATGCGAACACACTTTTCTTCTTTGGACATTTGAGATGAGAAATATGATATTTTGGGAGCTCCTAAGTTAAACGGTCTGTCGTTAAATCTCGTGGCGCAAGAGGTGCTATTTTTCAAAAGATGTCTCATCGCGACTACAGGTTAAAAGGTAGTGAATTTTGGTTAAAACAGTAGCTTCTACAGTTAGTTATCATTGCATGTACCAAATTTAAGGAACGTAACTAAAAAATTGGGCACGCAGTGACAATTTTTCTGAAACAGGAATCTATCATATGATGTAACCTTAAGCTTACAGATTGATATGTACAAGTTGTATTACACATGTAATTTATGCACAAGTTAATTGTTACAGATCTGCAAACAAGGTGTATGTAACACAGGGATGGATTTACTGGGGGGG